TAATTACTTATATTTATTGAATATTATTGCAGGTAATTATAATTACTTATATTTATTGAATATTTATATTTCATATGAGACAAAATGTTTTTAAATCTGTCTTTTCCTATCAGTTAGTAGGTAGTAACTAAAAACTATGGGTATGAATTACTTCTTTTTTTAATTATTAAGAAATATTCTATTCATTTTACATACCAACCACAGATCCCCCTCTCCTCCCTTCTCCTGCCCCCTAGCCTTCCCCCTCAATCCACCTTCCCATTCCTATTTCCTTCAAGGCAAGGCCTCCCATGGGGAGTCAGCAAAGCCTGATAAATTCAGTTGAGGCAGATCCAAGCCCCTCCAAAGCTATATAAGGTGTCCCACCATAGGTAATGGGCTCCAAAAGCCAGCTCATGCACCAAAGATTGATTCTGATCTCCCTACCAGGGTGCCCCTTAAGCAGGTCAGGCTAAACAACTGTCTCACCTATGCAGAGGGCCTAGTCCAGTCCCATGGAGGGTCCACAGCTATTGATCCACAGTTCACGAGTTCCCACTAGTTTGGTTTGGTTGTCTCTGTACGTTTTCCCTATCATGATCTTGATGCCCCTTGCTCATAGAATCTCTCTTCTCTCTCTTCGACTGGACTCCTGGAGCTTAGCCTGGTGCTTGGCTGAGGATCTCTGCATCTGCCTCCATCAGTTACTAGATGAAGGCTCTATGATGACAATTAAGGTATTCACCAATCTGATTACTAGGGTAAGCCAGTTCAGGCACCTTCTCCACTATTGCTAATAGTCTAAGGCGAGGTCATCCTTGTGGATTCCTGGGAACTTCTCTAGCACCCTGTTTCTCCCTATTCCCATGATATCTCCCTCTATCATGGTATTTCTTTCCTTACTCTCCCACTCCATCCCTGTCCCAGCTCGACCATCCCATTCCCTTAGTTTTCATCCCCCATCCGCTACCCTCCTTTCCTCCCCCACTTCATCCCAGTTTACTCATGGAGATCTCATCTATTTCTCCTTTCCAGGGTGATCCATGCATCCCTCTTTGGGTCTTCCTTGTTAGCTATCTTCTCTGGAGCTGTGGGTTGTAGTCTGGTTATCCTTTGCTTTACATCTAGTATCCACTTATGAGTGAGTACAAACCATGTTGGTCCTTCCGAGTTTGGGTTACCTCACTCAGGATGATATTTTCTAGTTCCAACCATTTGCCTGCGAATTTCATGATGTCATTGTTTTTTACTGCTGAGTAGTACTTCATTGTGTATATGTGCCACATTTTCTTAATCCATTCTTCAGTTGAGGGGCATCTAGGTGGTTTCCAGGTTCTGGCTATTATGAATAATGCTGCTGTGAACATAGTTGAGCATGTGTCCTTGTGATATGATTGAACATTCCTTGGGAATATGCCCAAGAGTGGTATAGCTGGGTCTTGAGGTAGATTGATTCCCAGTTTTCTGAGAAACCACCATATTGATTGCCAAAGTGGCTGTACAAGTTTGTACTCCCACCAACATGAATTGTTTCTTTTTTCAGTGAGTTACAAATAATTTTTCCTGGGTAGCTTATCTTTTTTATTTTCTTTCCTGGTGTCTTTGGTCCACATTTTCTCCCAGATTTGAACATTTTGATGGCACCTAATGTCTCAGCTTTTCTTTTGCAGTTTGTAGGATGTAGGTTATTGGGTAATGACTAAGAATTTTCTGCCATTGGCTCTTTATCCAGAAACTTTAAATGTTAGACACTTAACCATTTTTAACTGGTGTTGTGTGTTCTGCTCAAATCAGTGCCTTTTGATGTTTTAGCTTTCCACTTGCACGGAATTGCACAATGACCCACAGCTGCTGTAAATTATGAGAAACATCTTCATGGTGGTCCTACATGGTTCCATTCTTTTCCAAGAAGTCTTTTAATGCTTCTGCTTATTTCTGCCATTTTGTTGCATAGTTTACGGGTTACTTTTGTAAATTTTCCCTTTGCTTTCATCCAAGGGAGGGATGAAGTTAAACAGCAGGTTGGCTCACATCATAGAATGTGGGTTTCATAGAGACCAGCTTCAGAAGAATATGGTGAAGGCAGGTCTCAGACCACAGGGCTGGGCTGCTCGACAGAGCAGAAGCCTTTAACATGTGCATCCTATTATTCTATCTACAGAGGCTACACCAGAGGTTGCCCCAGAAATTTCCTTGGCACTTCCTCAAGTCTATTAGAGTATAAGTGAACCCACGGTGGTCTCTGTGATTCATGGTATACCCCTGATACCTTATCAGGACGACATGCCAGTTCCTTTCCAGTGACATCCCCTGCCCAGAATGCTAGCCATGTTTGTAAATCACCCTTGACAGATTATAAGCAACACTGGATTTGGTCCTCTGGTAAGTGTGTCAGTGGAGAATTCTGTACTTGATTTTGAGACTCTAGTCTAGTGCTACACTAGCATTTCTGAATAGTTGGTAAGTATTGTGGGAGAGTCAATGGCCTTTGTTGTCCAATGATTCCTGATGTTTTAGTTTTGATTATCTACCTGATTACATGAATACAGATTATGTAACGGGTACCTGTGAAGTGGTTCTAGAGACTCTCATGATACTGAAGTTCTCTCATGCTACCCAGTTTCCTTTGACCTTTCCTTAATCTAATAAGGTCATAGAACTGTTAAGTGAATGAATCTGTAGGACTAATTACCACCCTCTCTAACTCCCCCTCTCTCCACCAAAAATAAAAAAAATAGTAGCATCTTAGAGCATGAAAATTAGGATCTAGACTAATAATTACCTTGAAATTATTTCCATATCTAAGTCATTTAGCCTTGTATTCAGCTCAAATCACACTTAGTGTCCACTGTTGTCACGATTCTCTATGATGCTAAAACATTAATAGGAAGCACTGGCAACTGGATTATTTTAACAGCAAAGTTCTGCTCTACTTTTCAGCTGTTAAAAGTAATCAAGGATGTTATAAGGGCTCATCGAAAGGAAGCTGAGAGGAGCCACTCTTCAGGTGAGGAGTTACATCATCAGGGTTCGAAGTGGGAAAGTGAGACTTCAGTCTAAGGAAGAGCTGCATTTGGAAAGACAGCCTTACATGGGTCCTGAGGGGGATCTTCTTCACAGCACTATTGCCATAGGCAGCCATGAGGAGGCCCTGAAAGGAGAAGCAGACCAACGCTTTAATTCCATAACACAAAGGGAATGTCTCTGTCTTTTAGGTTTCCAAGAGTGGGAGGGAAGAATCCACACCATGTGACCCAGGCTGATCTAGCCAGCATGCCGGGAGTCACAGACTGGAAGGCACTAGGTAAAAGTAAAGTTATCGTTCCAGGTTAACTTGGCTTCGCTCACAGTTGCAATGGGCAATGAGGAGGGACAGTGCAAGGCCATAGTAAACTTTGCTTACCAGTTCTCTGGAAAGAGGCAGGGAGAGAGAGAGATAGGGGAGAGGAAACTGAGGAAGGGGTGGCTTGAGTTTTAGGGGAGAGAGGACAGCTTGTCAACTAGAGGACTTGTGATCTCACATTCTAGCGTAAGTTAAGGCACTTCTGTCTTGTGCTGGACAGTAGAGCTGGGCTTGCCTGCAGCAGAGATGAGAGAGGGACCCTTGCCATTGACGTTGCTACTTGTACCTATAAAGGGACTGGGACCAGGGCTTCAGGGAGATATGACCAGATCCCTCCCAGGCTGCCACATCTCTTAAAGTGGCCTCATTTTAAAGCAACATGTTCATGGCCTGACAGCTAGTGTCGATATTGGTAATCATCTCAAGTGAAGCTAGGGGACCGTATACTCATAATATCTATCCATTTCATTTTGAGATAAGAATTCTGGACAACTTCCTCAGTAGCTGCTCTTTACGGGCTGTTCTCTGCTCTTCAAAGACCAACCTGTATCTCCTCTTAATCATCATCACTCCTGCTATGGTTCAGATATGGCTTGAATATGGCCCACAAGCACTCATGCATTGGAAGACTGGTTCCCAGTGTTGTCATACTGAGAGCTAATTAGACCATATGAGGTGAGCCTAGAGAGAAGGGATTATGTCACTGGGGATCCCAACCTCACAGGAGATTAACATAGTTAATATAATATCTTATTATAGTAACGTGATAATATGTTAACATAAATTAACATAGTTCTTGTGGGACCCCAGTTAGTTCACCTGAGAAACAGTTGTTATAAAAGAGTCAGATCGACTCCTCCCTCCTTTTGGCCTCCTCTCTCACCATATGATCATCCTCACTGCTGATTTGCTCCTTTTCTTTTTTTGGTTTTTCGAGACAGGGTTTCTCTGTGTAGTTTTGGTGCCTGTCCTGGATCACACTCTGTAGACCAGGCTGGCCTCGAACTCACAGAGATCTGCCTGGCTCTGCCTCTCAAGTGCTGGGATTAAAGTTGTGCACCATCCCCACTCAGCTGACTTGCTCTTTTTCTACTCATCCTCTCCCCAGCCTGAAATATTTTTATAGCACCAGAATCAGGTTTACACACTCACATTTCCTCTAATTTCTCTGTCCTTTGAAATCCACACCAAAGCTTAAACCAGTGACTCAAAGATGGCAATTTGGGGAAGCGCTGTATTCTCTAAAGTCGAGGAAGCTGTGGACAGCTGGAAACAAGAGGAGCAAAAGGCTAAAATTAAAGAGACACATCGCCAGACTACATAGGGTTTTACAATCTTCTTCTAGCCATGGCGAATTCAAGATCTATCCAGAGGCTTTTAAATGCATGAGAATGTTTCCCAATGAGTTGTGTTCTTAAGCCCTCTGAGCATCTGCTAGCTGACCCTGCCCCTCCATTCCCATGATCTATGCATCCACCAGATGGCATATTCTTTTTGGTTTTTTTTGGAGATTATAATTACAACATTTCTCCCTTCCCTTTCTTCTCTCCAAACCTTCCCATCTATCCCTCCCTGCTCTTCTTCAAATTCTTGGCCTCTCTTTTCACAATTGTTATTGCATGCATATATATATATATATATATATATATATATATATATATATCCTAACTATAACCTGTTCAGTCCATATAATGTTACTTGTATGTATGTTCTTAGGGCTGACCATTCAGCACTGGGCAACCAGTTGGTGTACTCTCTGAATGCTCTTCTTATGGGCCATCAGTTTGGTGCAGGATTCCCCACTTCCTGAGGCATCAGTCCCAAGATCCTTCATTTGAGCCCCTGGTTTTTTTTTTTTTATTACTACAATTGCTACTATCTCCACCACGATTCCTTTTATTCCTTAGCCTCTCTGAACCTTCCTGTAGAGGTGAGCCCAATTTCTTGTCTTTGGTTTTCTTCATTTAAAATCCTAGAGTGGTTTCTGTTTTCAGATGGGGTTCTGACTGAAACAGAGCACTAAAGGATTTGGGTGGCAGATGGTACTTTTTCACTACTGTTTTGTGATGGGCATCCCAAGGAAGAGACATTTTGACTGATAAATAATGGAAGGGGCTCAAGGGGTGACAGGCACCAAACCTGATTTTGGATTAAGAGTGATTCTCAATTCATTTTTACACGTTTTCCCAAGATAACATTGGAGCACATTCCTCCAAGGCCCGAAAGAGATCCAGGTGGAAAGTAAGGAAGATTGACTAGGAAGCCTGTTGAGATTCCAGAGCAGAATTTTGGAGGTCCAGGTTTAGGAGCCAACCCTATTGTTTGTGTTCCTTGAATTTGCAGTCTAACCCCAAACTGATAGGTCAGGTCAGCTGAGCTCTGGGAAAATCCCATAGTCTCTCCCTTTTGAGAAATCTAAGGTTTGTCATGAACTCTGTTTCCTGGTGGCTGGGCTCCTCACGTTTCTAGAGGAGCTCAGACAAGTCACGCTCATGCTGTTTCTGAGATTTCTTCACCTGAGCCTCCCAGACGCAACTGGCAGGAGCAACTGGCTATCTTCCACCTTCTACATTTGCCACACCCCACAAAAGAGGCTGGAGCCTCCTGCACTCATCTAGATAAATGACCTAGGCTGTGTCAAAACCCATCACTGCACCCAGGAGCTGCCCCAGCTATGATTCGGTCTCCTGGACTTTCCACAAAGACTCTTCTTGCCAGGTATAGCCCATACCTATAAAACCCTCCAGAGCTTTCTGTACTCAGTGAATGGGAAAGGTCATCTTGCCATGATTCTGGGCCCTGCTCTGTGTGTGAGTCTCTGTCTTCTACTTCTGAGTTGCTGGGATTCTGGCCAAACTGCCCAACATGGAAACCTCCCTTCCCTTAGAAAGAAAGAGACGGTAGTGAAGGGGAAGGACCTCTGGAGAAAGTATGTACAATGACTTGGGCACTGGGGGAATGTTTAAGACTGAATGTTATTTATGGCCTTGAAATTTGTAGGGAGATGATGCTGCTGAGATTTCTGGGTAGAGGAGAATTCTGCCTGCTCTTCCGTCTCCAGAGCCTTGAAGTTTGGTCCTAGGAGGTTGCTTAGCTCTTCTGACTAGGGCATCATGTCTGGTTACACATTTCTGTTCTGTCCTGAATGAGAGCCTAGGGATCCAGGGTTTGGAAAATCTTGGAAATGTCTCCTGAGGTTTATCTTTCTTCCTGATGTCTCCTCCCTCAGGTACCAGGACAAACCTACTATGGAAAACTATCCAGGAGACACCAGATTTGGAGGTGATGTTGGGATGGGACACTAGAGAGCTGGGCTATTTGTATCCTCAGCTATGTCCTCTGGACATCCAAGAATTTCATCCTCCCCCTCAAATACGGCTCTTTGCACCTAGCAAGGTGCCCATATGCCACTAGGCCTTCACTATCCGGAGAGTGGAGACCACAATGCTCTAGCTATGGTTCTCAGCATCAGGCCAAGCACAGAGCAAGCACAAACAAGAGCAGCTGGATCTCAACACATAGGAACTGTGGAACTACTTGTCACTTTGTCTTGATGGTTTGTCCTCTTAGAACAGTTATTCTTAGTAGCCTTTGCTTACCATGGATTTACTGCAAAGAAAGTCCAGGTTGATGGGTTGCATGAAGGCTGCCAGTTTGGGGATGCAAACCCCTGGATGCAAGCCTTCATTACAGAAAGGGCCTGGATTGGGTCATCTTTCTCCTATTCTTGAGACTTCATGTTCATGTCTATCATTTGTTTTCACTCAAACAGTAAGAAGCAGTGCTCAGACCGGGAAGGTGTCCGACTTGAACCAGCAGGTGTGGATCCTTCGTGGTCAGAGCCTTGTGGCAGTTCCACAGAACAACAACGTCACCCCAGGTCAGTGGTCATCTGTCACTGCTTTACTCCTTACATAGACTTTGTTAAAGAAAGTGTCAGTGCCCTATTTGCAGCAGGATGGCCACAGTTAACAGTAGTTAGAAGAGAGCCTCTTGAGTGTTTGACCACAAATAAATGTTAACTATATGAGATGAAGGATATAGCAATCCCTCTGGTTTCCTCAGGGCATAGACCTATATTAAATCAATACTTTGTACCTCCAAATATGTCTAAGTATGTGTCAAAACCAAGCTTAATTTCCATGGGGGCCACCTGGAAGGGGCAGAATTTTACACCTGTCTGGAAAGAGAAGTCAGGGACAGGTTTGTCCCAGACTAGGGAAAAGCAGTCACCAGAGGATCTGTCTTGTGGAAGGGGAAGGTGTATGTCTATATGACATCAAGGCATGCTAAAAGGATTAAATGAGTGAAAAACACAGAGAGATAAGCTTCAACATGCCATTAGGCAGACTTTGCTAATGGTCACAGCTCTCCAAGGATCAGAGGGATGGCTTAGGCTAGGAGCTCCGGCCTCCAGGTGTGAAAAGCACAGGTATGAAAATCTAAATCAGCTTAGCTCTGTGCCTGCCTCAATAGCTGGGTCAGTGCTTGCCTATCAGGATGGACGGGTGAGTGGGTAGAAGACCATTTGGTTGGTCTGGGGAGTAGAAGATACACTCGTCAAGTGTCTTCTGGCCTTGCTTGGCATTTGCTGCTCTGCTCAGTCAGAACTATTAGAGCAGTCTGTCTTCCCAGCCTCAGAAGAAAATTATCTGCTTATCCTTATAGTCACCATCGCTGTCCTCCCGTGCAAGTATCCAGAGTCTCTTGAGCAGGGCAAAGGGATTCCCATTTACCTAGGAATCCAGAATCCAGATAAATGCCTGTTTTGTGAGGAAGTTGATGGACAGCCCGCTTTGCAGCTCAAGGTCAGTGACCGAGAAAAATAACATAAAAATAAAAGCCTGCATTTCTTTTGTTATACGTTTCATTTTTAAGTTAGCATGTAAAGCCTTAGGTTACATGTGGCATTTTTTTTTTACAGCAAAGCATGCTTCAGTAGGTTCTCAACACTCCATCTCCCTCCTTTTCCCTAACATCTAACTCCCCACCAGTCTCCCTTCTGTTTCAGGTCACACATGTCCTTTTTCCCACTCTGTTGCCACCCCCCACCCCACCCCCACCCCACTCTCTCGGTTGTTTTTCTGGTCTTTACGAAAAGCCCATGTATCCTAGCATGGTTTATTTGGCAAGAGATCAAATTTTAGAATTAACAAAGAATTTTATTTTCCTAAGCATGTTTATTTTTAGCCCCCTTTAAAATATAGACATGTCATGTAGAAGATTACCTTAATTAAGCCAATTGATGTGGGAAGACCAAGCCCACTGCAGACAGTACCACTCCCCAGACAGGGGGTCCTGAACTGTAGATGGATGGAGATATCTAGCCATGAACAAGTAAGCAAGTAGGCATGCTCTTGGATGTAATGTAACCAGATGCCTCAAGGTCCTGCCTTAACTTACCAAAAGTGATGGACACTAGCTTGGTATTATAAGCCAAATAAACTCTTTCTCCCCCAGAGTAAAATTAAAAGAGATACGTAACAGACATTAATTTATCTAGCCCTTTTATAGTTGAGGATCGTGATCTTTCTTAGTTTTAAGACATCCTCAGTCATTGTGTCTTCACATGTGTCCTCTCCCTCATTCTCCTGTATGTCATTTTAGAACTCCTAGTCACCAGTCAGAGGCCTCACCTTGGTATTTTATACTATCCTACATAATGACCATGCTTTCTGTCCTTCCACTGTTTAGTTATTTATTTATTAGCCTTGCATTCTAAAAGAATTTCTTGGTACAATAGCCCAGTTTGTAAGTATGCTTTTGTCTTGTCTTACCTTCTAAAAGACCCTTCCTTGACCTTTTCTTTGCTATTCCAATTCCTAAGCTCTCAAAGTGGTTGTGAATATGTACACACATAGAAATGCATACACATAAATATAATTTCATTTGTATATAAGTTTATACAAACTTCACCTTAATTAGCTTAATTCAAGTCCATCCAGTTTAACTCAGCAAAATGTGCAGGAGCTTAATTGCACCATATGAGTACATGGGCTATCTTTGAACAGAATGGCAAAGAGCCCTGAGCTTTGTACAGCCTGAATATTAGAAGGAGGAGAGACATGCAAATGCTAAATGTAGTAGTACATTTGTCATATGCCAAAAAGTATCACATGTCCTAGGAAACAAAGCAAGGCAAAACAAAACAAGTTCAGAAAAGAAAAAATAAAAATCAGCCAATCAGATCAGGGCAGAGCCTGGGAGTAGCAGAAACAGGAGTGGAGTCAGGCCCAGGAGTAAATTACATGGCAGGTATCAAGCGTCATTGTGTAGGAGGAATTCTAGGAGAGAACAGGAGGGGGAAGTTAGTCAGCAGGTGAGGGTGAGCCAGTGAAGACAGATGTGCAGCAGTGAACTGAGACCAGATCTCTGCCAGGACTTAGTCACTCCCCCCCGAGTGAAAGGAGAAACCTGGGATGTTCTGAACAGAGTGACCCCAAACACCTTAGGTCTAGAATGGGTCACTCTGACTTCAGGTTGATCAGACATTGCAGGGGAAGGATGGAAGGCCTTGGGAGGCTTTATGGTGAGCTGGGTGTGAGTTGATGGCTCTGGGATGGCAGTGAGTGGGTGGGGGTAGATTCTGAAACTAGTTTGTCATCCACAAGATCATGGACAGAATAATGTGATTCCATTCTGAGCTCGGTCCTGTCTTTGCTAAGTCACTCTTCGGTTGGACTTGGGGCCTCAGAAATTGGTCATTGATAAGGTATAGATTTTAGGGGATCTTAATGAGATAATGTTGGGGTTAAATCTCGCTTACATGGAGTGAGTCTGAAGAGGTAAATCAGACAGCAAATATCGGCAGCTATTGCAAAGGGTTTGCTGTAAAGCCAGAGCTGGCAGAGCTGTTGGGTCATTCAAATACAGTGATATGACACATGACAGTGTTTCGGCCAACAATGGACTCCATAAACAGTGCTCTGCTAAGGCCATTCCATCTAATGACATTGTAACTGCCTTAGATTGTGTAAGTACATTTGCAACGTTGACTCAGTAGTGAAATCACCAATGATTACTCTCTCAGGGTGTGTTCGTCATTTGGTGACATGCCTATGTTTTTTTAAGATGAAAGTAAATATACAGATAAGAATGGCTGAGCAAAGAAAGCAAAAATGGATGCTGCAGAAGAGAGCAGGCAGGATGGCTAGAAGAATGTCCTTAGATGAATGAGTGAAGAGAAGCCATTGTCTAGTCCTTTTCAGGTAGGGAGGCACAGGTATCGATGAGATGTGCCTGGTCCGTGGGTAGCTTGGAGATGTTCTCATCCAGTCACTTCAGCTTCCTCAGGGAGTTGGAAACAGAGAGTGAAGATGATGGAAGGGGGTGGTGAGTCAGAACTAAGAAGGCAGATCTTCACTGTTCGATGAGTCAGCAAAGCTCTGCTGAGCCGAATGCAGGACAGTAGTGAGCAAGTCTGACAAGTGTTTGTGGTTAGTGGGTAAAAATGCTAAATGTAAAGGGTGTTTGCTAGTGAAGGAAAAAACCAGGACAGAGATAGTGATAGGCAGCGAGATTTGAAGCCTGCCTGCTTGCCCGCCTCCTTCCCTCCCCTCCCTTCTCTTCCCCTCTCTTTTCTTTCAGCTTCTTTTCTTTCTTTTTCATTTAATTTTTTTTCAGGGGTGGGGGGCGCAGTAGTGGAAATTGAACCCAGGGCCTTGCACTTGCTAGGCATGCTCTACCACTGAACTAAATTCCTAAGCCCTTAAATGTCCTGTTCTAAGAGAGGCTTCCTTGAACTCTGGAATATTTATTGGTTGTGTAGAAATAACTTCTCCTACCAGAAGGCACTTCTGGCTTTGCTCATGAGTATTCTCCCTCACATGCAGGAGGAGAACATTTTGGATCTGTACAACAATCCTGAGCCCGTGAAACCCTTCCTGTTCTACCACACCCAGACCGGAACAACATCCACCTTTGAGTCCGTGGCTTTCCCTGGCAGTTTCATTGCCTCCTCCAAGAATGGCCAGCCCATCTTCCTCACGTCAGAACAGGGGAAATATCACAACATTAACTTCAATTTAGTTTTAGGGCCTTAAACTCAGCATAGAGGCAGAGGGTTGATTAGAAATCGTTGTCTTAAAATTTTTATTTGATCTGTGGAGTTTTTATACTGAGAGGTGAGCAGGACCAGCATTATCTCATTTCATAGATGAAGGAGCAATAAAGCAGAATATGTACTCCAAAGTAGGTGGAATGGGAGCGGTGTAAGGCTGTCCTCTGAGGCTGAAGTGGTCCAACCCACAAGGCATCATGCCTGAGAAATAGTGCCACAGTGTATAAAACCTGGAATGCCCTATGAGTGGTGATATCCTTGTTTCCAAGCCATTGGACTAATTCATACCAGATTTTCACACACTTATAATATCAAATCCTTGCATTTGGATAGCAGAGACTTCACAATAACATTCACTGCAACGGCCAGTTGCTTTGATCCTCTAGCAACTGACCTCTGTGTGGAGCTGGACACACTAGGAAAGGGTTTAGGTTCTTGGGTGAATGAACATTTTTAAAAAGCAACTAGAGCTATGCAAACTATGTTGGGGTACAGCGGTTGCTCCTTGAAGAGTGAGAATGCTTCCTGGTGATTCATAAATAGCTAGATCAGTTAACTTGGCTTGAGCAACCCTTTCCTGAATCATCCCGGTGGAGATGAATACTGAGAACAATGTGTATGAGTAATAGTGCTTGTCAATAAAACACTAACTTTTATTATTTTAACTTCCATAAATGTTTTAATATTCTTTCCATTATAATGCACATCTGTGGTTAACAGGATTAGTATCCCACCCTAGTCCTGTCTCTATAAGGCACCTCCTCTTTTTCAGTTCTTTTTTCCCCTGCAGCTCGCTCCCAGGCACCCAGGAACACATGGGAGTAAGCACAGAGTCAAGCAGAATTGTAGCTACCGACTGTGAGACTAGGAAAGCCTGCTACACGGTGGCCTAGGATGATCTTTTTGCCTGTTTTAAGGATTTGGATAACTTATTTGATTATTTTTAAGTGTGTGTGTGTGTGTGTGTGTGTGAGAGAGAGAGAGAGAGAGAGAGAGAGAGAGAGAGAGAGAGAGAGAGAATATGCAGGTATTTGTGGAGGCCAGATGAGACTGTTGAACGTCCTGGAGTTGGGCATTACAGGAGGTTGTGAGCTGCCTGATACAGGTACTGGGGAACTAACTCAGGTCCTCTGCCAGAGCTGTACATGCTCTTCAGTCCATGGATAAATTTTTAAATGGCATTATTTCCTCATGCCTTCTTATTTTATGAATGAGGACAGGAAGGCATGTGTAGTGGACAAGAAATGCTGCAGACGGCACTGACATTGACTACTATAACTGTAAATAATGACGTTCTTGGTCTGGGACTTTAAATGTCTGTCTGCTGGAGTTGAGTCATTATGAAGCACAGTGTAAGAAATCAAGAGAAATACCCTGAACAAGACTGAAACGACCCACATGAGATAGTTAATGACAACCATGCTGATGAAGCCAATTAAAGGTTTTGAGTTCTTTATGAATGGCCAGACCAAGAGTGGACTCACATCTCTGCAAAGTCTCTTGGTGCCCATTTTAAAAGATAAAACCATAGTTACATCAGTGCTGGGGAGGGGGGGTTACATTAGTGAGGGATTAGGAGTTGCCTAGTGAAATTTGCTTTCTTTACAAGGCTCAGCAGTATCTTCCAAACACTACACAGTATGTTTGGACCATGGTCAAGGTCATGGACTGTCCCACAAGTATTGCCAAGGTGAATGTGGTTGTTGGGAGTGGAAGGCTGAGAAGTGACCAGGCAGGCACAAAATAATGTTGGGATAGGATGGTGTTACCTTAGTTATTTCATGATGGAATGATATACGTAACAGAACTTCCTGGAGAGACACAACACACACACACACACACACACACACACACACACACACACACACACACACATCCACTCATCCCAGAGAGGGATCCCAGGACAGACCAAAGTATAGATACCACCAAAGTCCAACTTGGTAAATCAGTGAGTTTTATTGGGGTTACTTACAGGGTTAGGGGTGAGGGGTTACTTACAGGAGCAGAAATGACTCAGAGACAGTTGCATGACCAAAACCCACCCCAGCATGGGGGACAATGCACAAAAGCTGGGAAGCCTGGACCCCCCTGCACAGCCTGCAGGTGGCCCAGCAAGTTGAAGAGTGTCCTTTCCAGATGCCTCAGTTGGTCTAACCTCTTCCAGCCGGCTCGGCTGGTTTCTGCTCTTTCATACAGGTGGTCTGGTCTCGGGCTTCTCAGCAGCTCAGCTCCTCTAAGGGGAACTCTCCGCTTTTACTGTTTACTCTGGCAGGGAGGGGCCTAGTGAATCTGGTCAGTTTCAAGGACTTCCTGAAGCTATTTTGAGTTGTTTACTTTCCTGCTTAAGGAGCTTGCCTGGAGGAGAGAATGTTTCAATGTTGGCAGAAACTGTTGCATAATATATGGCAAACTCAGGTCCCCCTCACTCCCATCCTTGAGGCTGGCCTTACCTTGCAAGGTATCAGCAGATGACTCACCCAGATGCAAAACCTCTGGCCACCCAAATATGATTATGTAATGACAGAAGGATTGGAATGTACTTATTTCATAGCATTTCTCAAACTAAAAACAGCATCCACATTACCTGGGGCATGTACTAAATCTTCAGAAACCCCACACCCAGTAAATTAAAATCTCTTCCTAGACATTGCAATATGTTCCCTAGGGTTTACTGATTGACTAATGCTTTCCTGGATCTTCTCAGTGTAATTTTCCATGTAGATATATTCAGATTAATTATAGTTAGGACTATATGTGTGCTTCTGTAGAAATCAAGTTATCTTAAAATGGCAAGAGAGCACAGTGGGTAAAATTGTTGCTGTCCAAACCTGATGACCCAAGTTCCATCTCTGGAACCCACAGTGGGACAGTGGAAATAAAGACTGACCCACAAAAGTTGTCCTCTGATCTTCACACATGTGCCATGGACACATACAAACACACACACACACACACACACACACACACACACACACACACACTGCAATAAATAAATTTTAAAAGTTTAAAAGTGATTTGTTTCTATATGTTTTGCTTGAAAACTGCTAAAGAATATGTCTGCCCAAACAAGAGAAAAATGTGGCCTCCTTAAAGTAGGGTATCTTCACCAGGAAACAGGGAGGTGAGCCTGCCTGATAATGGTAAAGGAAGAAGATAACCAGGCAGAGTGGACCTGTTACAGGCTCAGCAGCAATAAGCAAGCCATGTAGACAGAGAGCTCAGTATGTTTAAATGAATTAGAGAGATTTTGATGGTGGGGAAAATTTGTGGGGGAATAATGAACTCTGCAAAAATTTTGCATGGCAGTGCACGCCTGTGACCTTAGCACTCAGAAAATTGAGCCAGGAGGATAATGAGTATGAGGCCAGATCTGGGTGGAAAAAAAAAATATGAGGGAAAAAAGGAAGAAGACAGACAGACAGAGACAGAGCAGAGAAATAGGGAGGCTAAAGAAGGCCAGAGCAGCACACTAGAGCTGACCCTGATGTTAGGGATGAAGTGACCCTGCCTCTCTCCTGTCTGCAGTGGCAGTGATGAGGGAAAGATGGTCTCCCCCCTCCACCCTTTGCTACTTGTGTCAGGTGAGAATGTCGGCACCAGGATCACAAGAATGAGAGAACTAGCCCTGCCCCTCATCAGCAGCAGCACACAGGAGAGCAGGCCCTGCAACCTCACCTGGGCAGCACACTAGAGCTGATCCTGTCGTTGGGGGCACAGGTGAACCAGCCCTGAGGGTGTGAGAACAGGAGAGCAGACCCACCCCATCCTCCATATGTTTCCTATAGCAATCGGAAGAGAGGACCTTGCATCTTGCCTAGGCAAAGAGTAAAGGTGACCCTGGTGATGTGAGTGTGGGGGACCCAGATCTGAGGATCTGAGAGCAGGAGAACTGGCCCTGCTCCTTGCTGCAGGCTGCATTGAGTGAGCTAGGCAAGGCAGTGCTGGAGAGCTGGCCTGGGTAGTGACAATGAGGGAAAGCTATGGAGCTGACCAACCCAACTACCATCCAGGCCCAGAACCAGGGCTCTGTTGGCCCACCCCAACATCCACCTCATCTATGAACTGTTGGAGCATGTGAATAGGACAAACCTACAGATCCAAAACAGCAGGATCCACAGGACAACAACAGGATATCCAAGAGGAGACCCAGTGAGAGCCCATTATCAGTGGTGTAGCAGAAACCAGAGGCCTTGAGCCAGACCAATGACTCAGCAATGAACACTTACAAGTGTAAAGGGTAAACTGTGTGACTCACAGGTCACACTACAGCTTCCACAACAAGATTCTCCTACTTATGTTTTGCTTTTCTGTTTTGTTGTTTGTTTGTTTTTGTTTGGTTTGGGTTTGGGCTTTTCTTTTAAATTTGGTTTTGATTTGGGGGGAGCTTGCAAGGGCAGAGGGCAGATTCAAGGGGACAGGGAAATAAGTGGGATCTGAATGCATGATGTGAAATCTACAAAGAATCAATAGAAGTTGAAAAAAAAAAAAAGGACAAGGTAAGGCAATTCTTTATTCCAGCAAGAATGTTATCTAGAAAAAAAGGATTAGTAAGATTACTGTATGAGACAGGTCTATTGTATTTACACTACTTGATACAGATCTACCCTTTAAATAACATTTTATTTTATTTTGATTTATTTATGGCTTTTAACAAAGTTGTAAGATTTTAATGAAGGAAAAAGGTTGTGGCAAACAATAAATGATTGTTATTGTTGTGGTGTTTCTATTCTTTCTAGAACATTCAGGACATCTCTTCAGAACACACTTTTTGCCCCTGTGGTTCAAAATAAGTGTTGAGTGAGTGTGAAGGTTTACTTACAACAAATATGTCCAAGGACTCATCGCCTAGCTGAAGAAACAGACCTTTGGAAGCCTCACTTGTCCATCTTCTTTCCCATCTCCTCCCCCACTTCTGGCATCTGTAACTGTCACCCTCTGGTGGCCACCATTCCTTTGGACGTCATTATAATATCACTGTGTATATGACTATCCCTCAAATATGTACTGTTTAGCTTTCTATGTTTTAAATTTTTATGGAGATGAGATCATAGAGTATGCATTCATCTACGGCCACACATTCTCAGTGTTCATTTATGTGAGTTAAGGTGTTTTGCAGAGAAGATGCCAAGAGACTCGATGGGAGAAATACTTCAGAAAAGTGTAGGTCACAATAGTCAAGAGTAGGCAATGAGAGGCTGCTCTTTTATATTTTATACCCTGAAGGACAATATCCCATCCTCCCTTAATTATATTCTGGAAACTTTCATTTATTTATTTATTTTTATTTAAAAGTTTTATTTTTTTCATTTGATGTACCAACCACAGTTCCCCCTCCCTCCCCTCCTCCTGCTCACCCCTCCTCCTGCCCACCCCTCACCCCTCATCTTCCCTCAACCCCACACCCTATCCACTTACTCCTCAGAGAGGGTAAGGCCTCCTATGGGGAATCATAAAGTCAGGCATATCAAGTTGAGGCAGGACCAAGCCCCTCCTCCCCACCACCCATATCAAGGTATCCCTCCATAAGGAATGGGCTCAAAAAAGCCAGTTCATGCACTAGGGATAAATTCAGGTCCCACTGCCAGGGGCTCCACAAACTGCCCAAGCCACACAACTATCACCCACATTCAGAGGGCTTAGCTCAGTCCCAGGCAGGTTCCCCAA